GGGGGGACTGAGGTATGCAGGTGTTGGGTATGTGCAGCTGGCTTCTCAGAGCCCCTACCCAACTATAGTTCATTATTTGGCCACTTATGGATCCCGTCTTAGTCACTTTTGAGAAAATGTAACATCTTTTAAGCCAGGAATTTTCCCATTCTTAAATCTGTAATTACCAGAAATTTCGTACCCTCAAAATCCCCCAAAATGTGCGATCCATTCTAGTAAATCTATTGAAAATGCACTTTAATTTTAGTCAATCCAGTAGTGAGAATGCGGCGCCATTCAGCGGCACATACCTATTAGCCAATAACGAAGTGCCTCCCATGCCCAGCTAGCACAAAATTTTCTTCATTGACTTTTTCAAGAAGCATGTATAGTCAAATGTAACTAAGAAAAAATAAAAGTAAAATGATAATTTACAAAAATAAATTTTAACAAAATATCACCTAAACCTGAAAGGGTTAATTAAACGTAATTTTTTTTATGTAACGCATAATCTAATCTGAAATGCAACCTTTAAAGTTAGCTTTGTAATGTTTGCCATCAACAGTGAAGCCTTCTTTCAGAACTTTATTCTCCTTATTTAGCCAAACAATCAACTTCTCCACCTTGCTCCTGAGAAAAGTGAAAAAAAAAAAAAGTCTAAGAGTAAGTCTACGTTTGAGTTTGGATTATCAATTAACAGTTACCCATTACCTGTGATAGGGAATGATAAAGAAGTTATATCCACAGTATAGTAAAATCAAACTCTACTACCTTTTTCTCAGCAATCGCAATTGGATAAACAGCCAGAGCTAGCACTCTATTAAGAACCACAGAGCCCTTTGCCAGTTGTGATAGCTAAATCAATTGGGACAATTACAGCAGACACATTTTCTCTCCCTGCAGTACAAACAAACAGTGTTATCATTATCAGCAGCAGCATCATGCAGTACATGTATGTGCACAAATTGAAAATGGATTTAAATGTTTATCTTATTTAGATTCAGCCTTTTAGATAACCCAAAAATTTTCCTAACCTGCAAGAGGTCTTCCAGCTTCATGAATAAACGAGGTCCTATCGATTTATCCAACTTCAGCAGATCTTTAAGCGGTCGCTTTATATCTGAAAAAGAGACAGGCGCGACCACTGTGTCGGCTACTGTAGCAGGCGTAGATAGTGGCGTCTCCAATCCAAGCGATCCAAGCTGTCTTGAGCTGCCGCGAAAATTCGATCTTCCCGCCATTTCTGAGTCAAACTGGTGAGAATTTAACAATTCCCTCGCCAACCTAAATTGATCTGAAGCAACCACTAGCTATTCAACGAGATTTTTTCGTCGTAATGCTCTTCTAATAATTCTGAAGAGGGCTGAAACAATAACAGTGGCCTTCTTTGGCGACGAACTAAACCACGGTAAGTCGACTTGTCCACCGTTTCCATCGACCAGATCGCGGACGCATACTTCTGCAATGTCATCAATCACTCCTCATGAACTCTCTTGATTTACAAAACCAGTCGTTTGATACAGTGTACCAAATTTTTCCTGGATCGAGCGACAGTCCGAAAATTCGGCGAAGAGGATATAGCATCGCATCTCGTTCGCGCCAAAGTATTTTGTATTACGCGCGATGAAGCACTTTGTTATATATTTAGCGTAATTAGAGTCGACGACAAACCATTTCTGGAGACATGATCTGCTTTTCATTTGTACAGCGCATCAAGATATACTTAGCACCTTCATCTACCGCAAACTGCGCAGTCATGACAGATCTGTAATTTTGCTAATTCGATTTTCTTGACTACCCCGGAAATTAGAACCCATACCCAGCTGTGAATTTCAAAGTTGCATAAAGCTCGTCGTGTTAAAACTTCTAGGCGGCCATTTTGATTTATTTTCACGCGCTCAACCGCAGAGGGACCATTGACTATACTCCAAGCTACCACAGGGTTTTGATGCCCTCTGGCCAAGCAGTAGAATCTAGCAGTCTGGTTCTCAGTTACTGTTTAAGTCTCAGGTGATATGGTCACCTCTGGCAAGGATACGCTTTCTCCTGGTTCTCCTTTCTGTCGTACCAATTGAAAATTTGAAAACCAAACAAACAAAGAATTGATAAACTCAATCTCAATTGCTTTTTTAATGAAAAATAATCTTAATTGATAGAAAAATCGGCTCGAAAACCTTTTTCGCCTTTTTCTCCCTCCAGTCCTTTGTCTCCCTTGCTTGCCGTGTCTTCCAGGTAAGCCCAGTATGAGTAGTGCGATTCCAGTTGTGCGATTCCAGTTGTGCGATTCCATTCTAGTAAATCTATTGAAAATGCAACTTTATATTTTAGTCAATGAAATAGTGAAAATGCGATGACAATCAGGGGCAAATCCCCATTAGTCAATAATTAAGAAGTACCTCCTAACCAATAATATTTATGACAATGTTAGCAGAATTAAGCCAGATGCTGTAGTCGGAGACTTACACTGTTGTTTAGTTGTCTCATTGATGGTCTAGATTTTAGTCCCAGGTCTCCTCTTGGTGTGCTGAACCATCTAAGGTTCAGTTGATTAATGGCCTGTATTCTTCTTTTACCACGGTTGAGACGTTCGTACAAAACTTGAATATGGTAAGTAGACTATATATACATTTTTTAAACTGTTGGTGGATACTATACATCAAGGAACCACAGACCTTTTCTTCATTTCAAAGCGTTTTGTTTATTTATCACATCGTTTATTTATTCATCTTGTAATTTAATTATTTCTACCAATCTAATAAAACACGAAGTGCTCGATATAGTTTGAGAAATTCTTGATGAAATGACTGATTAAACTAATTAACATATCTTGTATATTTTATCTGACATCAATAAACAATCGTCAACTAGTACTTCCCTTTTCCTCGAAAGATTGATGAGTTGTAAGTGTGACTTACAGTAATTCTAATGAATTCGATTTTCTCGAAAAGCTCTAATGGCAATTCATTTGTTGATTGTACAGATCACAGAATGTTTAAAGATTAAAGCATTGCGACCAAGGTAATGGTCAAGTTATTTTATCTTTGTTACGAGAGGAGAAAGATGCGCTATTACTGACCAATTTAAAGTGCTCTTCTGACTTGGATTACAATGTGACACTAAACGAAAAAGTTCATCCTCCACAAAGTTATTCAGTTCTGAACTAAGTTTGAAAAATTAAAGACTTGATTATTTTCAATGGATCCATAAGTTCAACGAGTAGGACTGTGATGGAGCGTTGTCTTTGTAAGCACCATAACCAAAGTCATATTCAGATTCATATTCAGCGCTTCCATGGAGAACAAAAGAAGCAGCGTCTTTTTCTGTGATTCCAATCCCATGATCAGCACGTGCACAGCCACTTCCTCCTCCACCAATCATCATCACTGATCCATCCCCATTACCCCAGGCACACCAGAAGCCGATCCTGTTGGCGCTTTGAATGCTTCCACTGCACTCAGCCTGTTGAAACCCGTCTGTTGAGTTGTACTGTCCGCCATATTGAATCACACAATTTCCCAGACACTGATCACTGGCCCAGACTTTACCATTTCTAAAGTCGCCATAACTTGTGATTTTAGATCGGAATGTTTGACCACCCAAACAGTTACCTGTGGTCTGCAACAGAGGAGTGTGGCTGGGGTCATCACTGCGCGTGATCTTTATTTCTCTACCGCTGACCAACCAAAATGCTGGTGAGATCATATCGTTGTTCATGGATGGGTTATTTGTTGTTCCAGTAGCAGTTGGCTGGTCATACCACCATCTCCCATCGTCGCGCATCCAATTCTTGCCATCGCTGTTTGAGAATCGAGCGATAAGAGTCCAGTCTTGGTTGTTGTCAGCCATGTGGCAGTAAACCTATTAAAGAAAGAACATCGAAGTTTAATTTGTTTGCATCGCCAAGCATAGGTGGGATTAAAAAGTTTGGTTATTTTAACCTTCACCTGCAATACTGGTACAAATTCAATTCGTGCTTTACCCTTTATTTACTTTCACTGCTTACCTGTAATTCCACATTCCCAATTTTTAGCCAGTATTCGCCATCCAGTGACTGCTTCCTATTCATTATTTGAGCCACTTCTCCACATGAGTTGGCGACTGTAGAATAAATCCAACAACATTAAAGTTCGCCTCAGTGGAGTATAGTATCATTTCATTCCAGTATCACGGCTTTGAAGCCACTTTTTTGTGCCTTCTAGTTACGAGAGTTTTCAAACCTAACAATTTTCTTCTTAATGCATTTTCCAGTTTCTTTACGAGCACCGCTAGTACTGAAATAACCACTTTTCTAATCTCTCTACTTCGATTGATTTCTATTTATAAACACTCTCACAGTTTTTGGATGAAAGCATTCGCATCTGAGGGTATAGCCACAGATAAAAAATTGCCCATCTTTTTCGTGTTTTTAATAGCAATACATGGACAGCTTAATCTTATTCTACGCCTTTCTGGATGGGCATATCGTTACAATCTGATAGATTGTAACGACTTATGCGATGGTTTCTCCTTCCTTATGTTTCTTGGCAAAATTTGAGCCGACAGAGTGCGGCGGTTTTTTAATCAGTCCATGCAACGGATAACGCGCAGAAGGCGTCTTGAATATTAGGTGTCGCGGGGTCAGTAAGGAGAAACAATTGGCGTTGTTTGTTGCTTTTGCAGCCACCTACGTCGGATAATATATTGAAGCTTTTGAACCACTTTTGCCATTGGTGAGCGAGAGAATTTTGATCGTCATGGGATCAAACGGCAGAATTAAGGCGGTATTTAACAACCACGGGCTAAATAAATCCTCGTCGCCAGTGTAATAACGTGTAATAATAGTTTTCTTCTGATCGGTTTTTATCTTTAATGGCTGCCTATCCTTTTACACAACTTCACAACACGACAGCACATGCTCGCTCTACGAATTTTACTCTCTGAGTTGGAAGAGTATGCTTTGCATACCATAGCATTTTGTCAACTATTGACTATTACTGTTAACTACACGGTTCTGTAAAAACAAAGTTCTTTATTCGCGCACACACTAGTCCAAGTAATAAAATGTTGGGCTTAACTTCACGAGTTTTTCACCTGCTAGCATTCTGCATATATTACGGTCACACTACAATGTACACTAATTAGCAACGATTGTAGAATGTAGCATTCTCCGCATTTTATTGCAGTTCATTAGCGTTCCTTCGGAAATACGTTTTGTCTTTCTTTCCCGCGTTCGGTATAATTAACATGTTGTTAATATTCTAGTTTCATCGTTGATATCATAGAGAGAACATCTTGTCTTAAGAGAACATCTGGTTTAGAGTTGCCTTTTCGCGGCCTACAGCGCCGATACAATGTAAGTTCCTAGTTATTATGTTCATCGCGTTTGCTTTAACCGCCTTTCAGTTTTATATTTCTGCATTTTGTAAGCTTGTATTTTTGTTGGTTCTTCATTAGTTCACACCTCTCCCTCCGATCGAGCGTTTGTAATCATTGCTGTAAGCGGCAACGAAAAGACTCGCCTTTTGGCAGTAACAACGATCCTATTTTGATAAAATGTAAATGGCGGCGAGAATTGCTGATTATGCAACAATTACAATGTCCTCTCATCTACGTTTATAACCCCTCTCCTGTGGGATGAAAATTAAAAACAAAAAATATAATACACCTCCCCTTACCGAAATTTGCGCGTGTGAGAAAACAAAACATAACAAAAGAAATTAGCAGATCCGTTGAAGTGACTTACTAATTTTAATGCTTGAAATCTTGTTTTGAAATTAACAAAGATCCCTGTAGCGACAATGGAAGGCAGTAACGTATTTCGTATTTGAGCGATGAATAATAACATTCTCTCGTGCTAGATTATGATCACAGACAGCTTGAATCTTGCGTCTTCATAGGCCGGATTGTGTAAGTTTGCACAGTTTTCAACACGAATCAAGTAAAAAATATTCTTGCAAATACGTTTTTTTCTTTTTATAGTTAGAGGAACGGTATGCACAGGGGCGATAATGTACCCACCATCAAAAGCGCTGGTGAAGCGGCGGAATCATCAAGCACGCTGGCTATAATTTTTTACGGTTGTGTCATTTGCCTCATTAAAAGCTATTTTTCTCGTATTTCATACTTAGTGGCGACAGCATATTAATGAACTTTCGGATCATGACTTAAGGGGAACAAAATAGTCGGTACTTAGAACCGATTCCGCTTTCAGTTCCCGTTATGAAGTTTTTTCAAAAGCTGTTAGTGTTATTTAATGTTTTTTCCAGAGAGTGAAAGAGTTCTGTCTTATTCTAAGATGCGCCAGCCAGCTGGATTTTGCTTGAGGAGCGGCTATTTATATGTTTGGCTCCATTGAGCACTTATATTACTTCGGCCTGTTCTGAGGGTTTTACAAAAAAAAATGCAATCTTACCAATTATTTGACAGTCATTTCCAGTCCACGGATATATGCAGAAACATGAAAATGTTTGGTTCTTCTCGTGAAACAAACAAGAACCCCCATTACGACAGCCTGTCATGAGACATCCCTAAAAAGGCAAACATATATTGTCGTTTAACAGGCATATTTAATTAACAAAATAGAGTATAACTCTTCCTGTTCAGCTGCAGTTGTTTGCATGTATGTAACCACTCGAGAAATCATAGAAATCTCAAACCAATATGTATGAAATTGCGATGCTCCTTTACAATTGAAAATAACAACTTCTTTCTTCTTGTACGTGTTAAGAAAAAAAAAACAAACAAACAAAGAAACGAAGTAAAAAACAAAAACAAGGGAAAAAACAATAACAAAACTATACCTTGAGCATCATGGAGAAAGTGAAGCCTTTTTTATCATAAAACTGGGCATTTCCGTCGAGGATCCCATGCTTGTTCAGTTCACAAGTTCCTTTAACGTCCTTTTCGGATGGTTCTTCGAAGTTTGTTGAAGTACACCAGGAGTTTTTGAGGCATGAAAGACTGCATGATATTTGAGTGGGAGATCGAAACTGTTTGACAGCATGACCATTAAGGCGCTTGTTCTCCTTAGTGGCAAATAACGCTGAACGAGAATGCGGCAAGTCTTCTTTAGCAAAAAGGATGGCGAGTCCTTGAAATAGGAAGAGGAAGAGACTTTCCTTGACCGCCATTTCTAAAACATATCATTAACTGAGTGAGATCGTATACGCAGGGGTCAGTTTTATTGGATGTTGAAACAGTACAACACCATTGGCAAATTCTTAATCATCGACGTTGAAAACATTTAAAGAGAGAGGACACATGCGGTAATCTAATAAATCAATATTTGCTAGCTTTTTGTGTAAGATGGAATCGACGTATCCTATGTAACCGAGATCTTAAAAAACAAGTCCAGTTGAGATGTAAAGTGAACTACAATTAACTGATTTTTCTGCCATCGCGTCAGGAGAGTAAGAAATCCAGAAGTTCGATCATTTGCCACCGAATAAATCCAGCTATTTTGAACAATTTGACGAGGAATGTGTGGCCTGTCCTGATCTCGCTCGCTAATCTAGCCTCCCCTTTCCCTTTCAAATTTGCATCGTTCAAATGTGGAGCAAAGGGTCTCGTACAACTGATAGAAAGGAAAAAGAGATAACTAGGCCCAAAATTTGAAAAATATGTTAAGATATATATATCATCTCGGCTCGGGACTTTTTAAATTCTCAAGTCTTCAAATTGCAGTTAACCTATTCCCATCGCAGACCGTGAATAAAAATTCAGTAAAGAAAAGTTATGGGTTCAACTAAGAATTTTTTATTTTATTTTTGCAGCTGTAGCTTGCTTTCCTTAAATTTTTCGATAAACATTTAAATTTATCAGTTGATTTTAGAGATAATGTTGATCCAGAAAAATACACAATGGTTTTGGATGCCTTAATTTGATATTCCAGAAGAGAAGAGAGAAAGTGAATCTCGGTTGACTTCGAGAAAAACTACTCCAATTATTAACCCTTTACCAGGAAGCCACGCATACATGGTAGTAATTACTACTACTGCTGTTGTTATTTGTTTCTTGTTGAAATTAAGAGACAACATTGTGTAAGTGTGTACATTACAAGGCTGTTTGATGTGACACCTATTGACGCCTAAAGCACCCACAATGATTCCCGATTTCAATTACAGTGAACCGTTCATATAACAACAAATCCCAAAAATCCAGCATTCTGCTCTAAGAACAACACTGAAAAAGTGTCGATCTTCTAAGATCAAAACTTGCTCAAGAAATCAAAAGTTTGCCTTCAAAACACACCTCAGGGTCAGATCTTGCTGTCTGGCTGGAAAATGCCTTCTCACTTTATCCGCTAGCCCTTGTTCTTCCTTTTGACGAAAGCTAGTGTCGTAAACACAATCTTTGTCTCCTTTATGACCGAAAAAAATTCTGGGAAATTCCACCACAACTCGAGAAGGTAACACCTCACATTTCCATTTTAACAAATTATTAGAATCGTGTCGGGCCACCCAGTCCTACCAGCAGAATATTACATCGAACAAGACTTTTGCCACTCAAAACTGGCCCAAAAAGCCTTGGTAGGTCCTGTTAGCCATCCACAGATGGGCCAGAGACACGACTTCACTTGTGAACTCGCCAAGCTTGCATGAAAGAATTTTGGCGGTCCAGTCTACATGAAACCACCTCTCACCTCTGTTTTCTTTCAGAGGTTTGCCTCTACCCACATTCCAGCTTAATGATGCTGTGCTGAGGGCTTCTGTAGAGGGAAAATGGCTCGAAAAACACTTATAAGCGCGAGAAATCGAATCGATTTGAACGCATCCAAACACGAGCGGATGATCTAGGTCACGTAATCCCAAAGTTTGAACCCACGTACGGTGTCTCAAAACCGCAAATATTGCGACAAACAAAGCGAGCTTAAGTTTTGTATGGCCAAATTATAAGGTTTTTTGCCTGCTGGTAAAGTGTTAATTAACCACACTAAGAGAAAATAATTTACAGTGTCATTAATTTATCTGACCATACTCGTTTTTCAAGAAATTAGAGTCTGCTTAGGGCTCGGACTTTTCACGGTATTCAACTTGGTCAACTTGGGATTCGTTAATTTGTAACCTTGTCCCAGACCCTCGATTTTAGGGCAAGACTTGAGACGAGCTATTGGAGCTAAAACTTGATAACACGCTATCACCATAAAACGTTACTATATTTGAATTGTGTCGGTGAAAAGAGAAACAGTCTCGATTTGTCATATTGAGTTCCCTTTATGTCAAAGTAAACTGCTTTTGCTCTTTATTCATTAATCATACGATCTATTTATTCTTGTAATCATTCATTTATTTATGCCAATCAAATGAACAAATGCTCGATATAGCTACAGCATTTTCTCGATCAAATAAATAATGAATATATTAAGCATATTTTCTGTTACTTTGTCTTTGACATCACTGACCAATCATTAATGAATACTTCACATTTTTCTTGAAAACGTGAGTTGTGAGTCTGATTTAAATTAACTCAACTGTCAATTAATTTGTCGAGAATTGAAATTAAATGGCAATTTTTCTTGTTTTTTTTTGTTTTATTTTTGTTTTGTTTTTAACTGAAACGCTAAGAAAAATGGCAATTTGTTAGGAAGGGAGATCTAAGATGAGAAGATCATGTTCATCTAACTTGGATCAGAATGTGAAAAAAAAAATTAGTAATATCCTCCTTTCAAAAGTTCTGCTTTTCTAAACTAAGTTTGAAAAATAAACGTCTGGTCAATCTCTGTCGTCATTGAGACCATCTGCCTCTCACAGAAAACTAGAAATATTGGTTTTACATTTGACAATCATTTTCTTTTTAACGATCATGTTGCAAGTATCTGCAAATCATCTTTTTACCATCTCCGTAATATCAGCTATATAAGAAAGTACTTGTCATCAACCACCACTGAAATACTTTTTCATGCATTTGTATTTTTAAAATTGGATTATTGTAATTCATTACTCTATGGACAACCGAACTACCAAGTAAAAAAGTTATAGCACGTCCAGATCGCCGCTGCTCGTCTCATCTCTCTTTCAAGGAAACACGAACACATTACGCCTATTCTAATAAATCTTCACTGGCTTCTGATACATTATCGCATTGTGTTTAAAATTCTATTCATTGCGTACAAAGCTCTTAACAATCTTGTACCATCGGGCATTCGTGATCTACTCACACCTTACGTTCCAGCTCGTCAACTGCGTTCATCATCTAAAAGTCTCCTTGTGACTCCTCATTTTAATTTCAAGACACACGGTGCAAGATCGTTTTCTGTAGCTGTCCCCACACTCTGGAACGCTTTGCCGTCCGATATCATGAAAAACTCCTCAGTGTCCGTTTTTAAAAACTAACTTAAAACTTTTCTTTTTAAAAAAGCGTTTTTCTAATTTTACAATTGTGTCACTTGTTAAGGGCTTTTGAACTTTGAAGAAACTAGCGCTATATAAATACTTTATTATTATTATTATTATCATTATCATTATTATTATTATTATTATTATTATTTTAGTGGATTCATAAGTTCAACGAGTAGGACTGGGATGGAGCGCTTCTTGTTAGACCATCATAATCAAAGTTATATTCAGTCTGACTGGTTCTGTGTTTAACAAAAGAAGCACCCTTTTCTGTGATTACAATCCCATAATCTGCACGTGCAAAGCTCTTTCCTCTTTCACCAACCGTCATCACTGATCCATCACTGTACGATTGTTAGTTGTTCCAGTAGCAACTTGTTGATTATACCAGCATTTGCAATCATCACGCATCCAATTCTTGCTATCGCTCTTGCAGAATCGAGCAGTTAGGGTTCATCCTTTAGACTTGCCGTGATATCACAATAAACCTAACAGTACATTGTAAATACATTTAAATCAAGAAGAGGATAGCTATCGTTTGATTAATTGTAGGTTCGTAAGGGAATTGATATCAAAGACATATTCTAGTCAAGTTAAAATCCTTTTTAACAGGTAGGTTTGACAAATTAGGAATTTTTGGATCTTACCAATTTGATCTTGATCTTTTAGCTTATTATTTTTTGCAATCTTCTGGTACTGAAATAAGTTAGGATTATGATCCCACTGTACAGCAAACACAGACCTATTCACCCAAGCAAAATGGTGAAAATTTTCGTTTGACTACAGCCTATTATGATCTCCATAATTTCAAAACGTTCATAGTGCGCAGCAAAAATTTTGGAGCTCATGAATAAACGTCATCCTTGAGGCGGTATAGCCATTTTTGTCATTTCACATTCTGTCTCACAGGAAATTGAATTTTAAAAAATTCATATCAAACTTCAAAATCGTTTGGATCAAAGTAAATAGTTTTATGCTTACCTGTGAACGTTCTCTGCTCGTTCTCGACGTTTTCATCTGTTTTATTCGTCATCTTCATGCGACGTTTAACATCTTAAATGCGCTGTGCGTTCATTTCCGTTCGCTTGTTGACCGTCTCCATTCTCATGAAGAGCACAACAGTCAGTAGAATTGAAATGAAATAAAGAACCAAAGA